GCTCCCCGACAGCAACCCGGGCTGGTGCTGGCAGCCAAAGGGCCAGGGACATCTGTTGGGCCCACTCCTCACCCTGGCGCCCTGCAGAAGAGCTGCCCATCCCCACCCTCCTGATTGGCAGAGCCCGGAAGTTTCCAGGCCATCGGTTGCCGTGGCTCCCCGGAGACCCCTCTGTCTAGTAGTGCCCCAGCCGCTGTCCCTCCAGCCCTGAGTGGGGTGGGACTCAGGAGGACCTAGAGGGCTCTTTCCCCCACGCCTGCCCCGGGGGAGTCCTCCTGGCTCCCGCAGGCGCCCCGCCTACCCGCCTCTGTGGGCCTCTGTGGCCACACCCAGCACCCTCTGATAAGACAGAGCCACTCTGCTCTGTGACAGCCTTGTCCCCAGCCCGAGCCAGCAGAACACCACAGCAAGGTAAAGAGCTCCCTGCAAAGCCCAGGCCGGGCCCCATGCCCCCTGCAAGTGGTGGCTTAAAACCCACAACCCCCGGGGACGCTGCAGGTCACCGGCACTGCACCCGCCCACACCAGCCCCAGCGCTCGCCTCTCCCAGGGCCTGGCCCTCTCCTGCCTGGACGCCCTCTGTCCTCTGCCTGCACATCCCAGTGCCGCGGGCGGCTGTCTGGCCCGGCCACCAGCAGCCTCTGTGGAGCTCCAAGGTGACCGGGCCTCTGAGCCTGGCTGTGAGGAGCCGCCCGGCCTCCGGGTCCTCCACCGCCGCCCTGGATCCGAGTGACAGGGGAAGCCATCGGTCAGCTCAGCAAACGTGAGCTTCCCAGGGCGGCCCTCTCCAGCCGGGGCAGGGCAGCCGGCCACCCAGGTCCCCTCTCCTGCCCGGGCTGGCTCAGGCCTGGCTTCCTGTGGCTCTGAGTCACACCTTCTGCAGGACCAGGTGCCACTGCCAAGGGAGCGTGCTCAAAGGCTGGCGGATCCTAAACGCCAGCTGTCATCTCTGGCACCTCTCCTGGACCCGGCCAAGGGCCGCCTCCCCCGGGCCTGACGGCTTGGAGGAAGTGAACCCAGGCCACCACCAAAAGCCACCTGACGCTTGGCCACCTGTGACCCCCGGGGCAGGGGAGGAGCATCTCCAGGCACGGCCGGGGCGAGCGCCCTGAGCTCCAGGCCCTCCTGTGGCCACGGTGCCAACCGCCCTGCCTGTAGCCCTCGCCAGCTCTGCGTGTGGCGCAGGTGGGACTGCTGGGCGGCACAGACGTCTGCCTTGTGACTCCAGGGGTCAGTGATTCCTGTGGAGACACCTCCTTCATTTCCAAGCAGCTGGTGGCCTGTGGGACATCCCTGTGAACTAGGGACAGGAGCCTCCTCCTTCCTCAAGACCCTGCCCGTGCCCCGTGGCTGGGCTGCAGAAATGCACAACGTGCGCAGCTGTACTTGGCAGGGCTGGCTGCCCATCGTGTTTCCTTCCACAGCTCCCACTGCGCAGGAGTTGGCAAAAGAGGCTATGTCTGGGGGCATGCTGCAGGCCCTGCGCCCTGCTCAGAAAACACCCTGAGGAGAAGCCATAGGCTCCCCCGTTGTCCAGTCAACACGCCCGGGAGAGGCTGTAACTGTGAGAGAGATATAGAGGGGAACAGGCACCACATTTGTGCCCCAGGTGCCTACAGGGGCCACTGCAGATGTGTGGCCCTCAGTGGGTTGGGAGGGCCCCAGCAGAGGCGTGGGCCAGGCCTGCCCAGGAGCAGCGTGGGCCTGTGCAGGCCTGAGTCTGGCCCCGTGTGACGGTCGTGGTGCTGGGGCTGCTGGCGCAGGCCTGGGGCTGAGGGCGGCGCCGGCTGGGGCTCCTGGGTTCAGCACAGTTCGAGGGGCAGCACGTGGAGCCAGGTCTTAAAGCCACAGCGTCCTGTCGTGGCCACAGCCGTCATGGGGACAGGCTCTGGACTCGGCGGCCAGCAGGAGGAAGGACCTGGGGTTCTTTGCTGAGGTTGAGTGTGGGGCCTCCTCATGGGGCGCACAAGGCTGCCGTGCCACCGGAGGCCACGTCACCCCTCTCCCAGTTGCTTCTCAGGAGTTGTAGTTTACAAGTCCCCGAGGCCTGGGGTCTGGCTTCCTGGACCCAGGCAGCTGCATGCAGTAGGTGCTCGGCAGTGCTGCCCTGCACCTGCCCTGGGGCTGCCCGGGACCTGGTTGTGCCGGCCCCTTCCTCACCTGTGCCCTGTGGCCGTCTTCCCTCTGCTTTCTGCTCGGCCCCTGACCGGCTTCAGCCCCTCCTGCCTCACCTCTGGGCCCATGTGGGTCCGTCCTACAAGATGAGGTCACTGCCCCTCACGAGCTCAAGCCACTCGGGGCCAGGGGACATTTGCTCCTGGGTCCCAGCACAGAGTGCGTGGGGTGCTGCCGCGGCACCGGCCAGCGATGGGCTGCCCAAGGGAGGTGTCGAGGGTGTCCCCTGCTGCTCCAGGGTCTCAGGCCCTCTCCCAGGGCGGCAGTGAGCCCAGGCCCAGTGAGGGCCGTGATGACCCGTCAGGTCAGGGCAGTCCATCCCGTCAGAGGCTGTGGGGCCGGCCTTTTCTTGGCACGGGTGACCGGTCGGAGCCGTCACAGTCTGGGGCAGCACAGTGGCCAGTGTGGGCTAGAAAGGTCTTGGGTGGGTTGAGAATGGCCGGGAGGACTCCAGGTGGGTGTGGCGAGGTGGGAGGTGTCCCCAGGGGTCGAGGAGGGGGCCGGCGCCCCGCGCGGTGGTCCTCACTGGTGGATGGCGTTCCCGAGAGCTGCCGCACTGCAGGAGGGCACAGGGCCTGCACCGTCCCCGCCTCCTCAGGGCCGAGCTGAGGCCCTGGAGGTGGAGTGGCCTTCAGTCAGAGCGGCCACCATGCAAGGACGCGCCTTGCCCCTGGGTGGTCAGGGAGACAGTCAAAAGAGGTCCAGGCAGCCTGTTGGCCAGAGTGGGTCCCCACAGAGGGGCAGCTGGCAGGATGTGACACAGGCTGCTGGGGCCTGGCAGGGTTTGGGCACCGCTCGGCCGTGGGTGGAATCGGTCAGCCTGGGTCTATGTGCTGGACACAAGGTGGGTTCATCCTGAGCCAGCCACCGTCCACCTGTCCCCAGGGCAGGTGGGGCCATGGGCGGGGCACCCTGTGTGGGTCACCCTTCCAGGTTTCAGGGAGCCACTGACCTGGGAAATCACTCACAGGGGGAACGGGCCTGCTGAGCCCGCCGTCTACTGAAGGCCACAGCCGCCACGCAGCCCCCACGGGCGCCCAGAGCCCTGTCCCTCGGGCCGGCCGCAGGCCCTGCCTGGTGGCCCTGAGCAAGCCGGGGGCCTCGGGGGCAGAGGCTCCTGCGCAGGGTTCCCTGTGCTGGCCGGCTGGTAAGCAGCAGAGAGGAGCTGGGGCTGGACCTGCTGCTAGGGCCCCCGGCCCACGGCCAGCCCCTAGGTTGCTGTGGTCCACCCCGTCCCCATCCTCATGCCCTGGTGGCCTGTCCCAGGACGATGGGGCCTTCCTAGTGCATCCCCACCAGCAGTCTGGTGCCACCAGGGCCGGTGCCCTGTCCGGCTGTGTCCCCCACCAATCAGAACCTCACTGGCCTCCCCTGTTAAACGGGGCCGAGGGGCTGCTGCCTGCCCCGTCCCTCCTCCAGGGCCGCCCTGTCCGGGTGGCTGTGCTGGACACCAGGGCTTGCCCGGTCTGTAGGTACCAGCCGAGGCCAGCCCAGCTGCCCCCACTCACAGGGACCTCTCACCGTGGGCCAGCGCCTCCCCAGGGCGTCTGCCGCCCTCTCTGTCTGGGCCTCTGTCATGGTGCCCTGTCCCCTGCTGCCCCTGGCCCTGGCTTGCCTCCCTCCCTCCCTCCCTCCCTCCCCTCTGCTTCCCTGGGCAGGGCCTTCCTGGCTCCTGACTGACTTCCGGCCACCGCTGGGTCCTGGTGGGATGTGGGCACCTCTCTCCCTCCCCCTCAGCAGGCCACCAGGAGGCGGGGAGGGCGGCAGTGGGCCCCGAGGGCCGCTCACTTCTGTCCTACGCCCGCGCGAGCCTGGGGGTGGACAGCGAGCGGCAGAGTGCCGTGTGAGTGAGAGGAGGCTTTGGCAGGTAACCGAAGTTGGGCTCCTTGGCGTCTTTGAGCAGAGAGATGCCATGCCTTCAGGGGACAGCGCGGCTCAGGTCCTGGCCGCCGGGTAGCCGCCTGCCCGTGCCTCCGTCCCTGGCCACCCACTCTCCCCGGAGGAGCCCCTGCCCGCAGAGGCCTTGCTGTGACCCCAGTGGCCCGGCTCCTCTTGCCGGAGCCCCTCCCCCGCCGGCCGCGGAAGTCCCTGGCTGGCCTCGGGAGGCACAGCGCTGGCTGCTCCCGCCTGCTGCCCGCCCAGCTGCGGCTCCCCTGCGCGGGATGACGCCCAGGCGGCCGCCGGCCGCACAGTGGGCTCGTCAGATGACTGTGGGGGCTCCTGCCACACACCGCACTCCCTAGGACGGAGAGGGCGGGGCGCGGAGGAAGGCACAGGTCCTGCGTCTCGTGCCTGCCGCGGCGGCTCGCGGGCGCGGAGCTGGGGAGCCTGCCTTTCCAGCCCCTTCCAGAGAAAGCCAAGCAGGACCGCCGCCCCCGGCTCTCGGGCTGTCTCCTCCGCGTCCCTGGAAGAGGCGTCGGGCCGAGGCGGGCCGGGGGAGCTCCTGTACCACCCGCTGTCCCTGCCGCCGCCGCCTCCCGGGCCACTTACTTTCTTCGCTCTGGGCGGTGGTGTCCTGGCCAGCCCCCGGGCGCCTGGAGCCAGCCCGCTCTGCAGCCGGGCAGCGGCTCCAGCATGCCTGAGTCCTCCCCCCTGGCTCCTGCGCCGCCCGCCCCCCCCACATCCCATTGTGCCCCGCTCGCCTATCCCGGCAGCCCCCCCAGCTCCTCCTGCACCTCGCGGCCGCCCAGTCTTCTCCATGCTGCCTGGATCCGGCGAGCTGGGTGATTAATTGGCTGTGATGATGAGCGTCCCCGGCGGAGGAGCAGCCACCGTGATGATGATGGGTTACAATAATGGTCGCTGTCCCCGGAATTCTCTCTACAGTGACTGCATCATCGAGGACAAGACGGTGGTCCTGCAGAAGAAGGACAATGAGGGCTTCGGGTTCGTGCTCCGAGGGGCGAAAGGTAAGAGCGGGTCCCTCTGCATGTGTGTGTGCGCCTGTGTGGAGACCGTCCCCGGCTCCGCGAGGGCTCGGAGCAAGCCCTTCCCGGGCGCTCGGTTGCTAGACAACAGTGCTGTTCGGCATGCCGCCTTCCCCGAAAACACGGCTCCTTCAGGCATATTTTGAATTTTCTAGACAACGATATTGCTCCGAAGGGCTCCTTCTCCCTCCCTCCCCCACCGTCCTCCCCATCATGGGGGATCAGCTGCTGTGTGCTGTGCTTCCGTGCGGCCGCGCTGGGGCTGCTCCGAGCTCCTGGGCTCCGACACACAGTCACCAGCCCCTGGTCAGCCCCGGGATGCCGCTGTCTGGAAGTGGCTTCAGCTCCAAGGGCGGCAGGCATCTGTGTGCTTGTCTCTAAGGTGACTTTGCCGAGGGAAAGTGGCAAGATGGTCCCCTCGGCCGTGGACCCAGCTGGCAGCACACACACCCCGGGCCTGTGGTGGAGGCTCCGGGATGCGGTCCCTGGAGGCGCAGCCACCACCTGCCCTTGGAAGTGGGGGACTTCCCTTCCAAACTAAGACAAAATGGCACCCCCCACCAGAGGAGACATCTGCCCACCGCGTGTGTGGCTCAGCCAGGGGGAAGTTTCCCCCGGAGCCGCGCTGCCCTGCTGGGCCCCACTGAGCCCAGGGAGCCTCCTCCCTACTGGCTGCCCACCTGCTGTGGGCGCAGGCGGCCCACAGAGGTCTGTGCAGAGGGAGGCTGACTCTTCCCATGTGAGAGTCCTGCCGTCTGCGGGCGTCCCCTCCCCCTGCCCGGGCGTCTTCCCGGCCTCTGCCCGCCCCCGCCCCCGCCCCTCTTGACTGCCAGGAAAGTCCTTCTCTTGCCCTCGAGTTCCATGGGGCAGCTGTGTGGGCCCCAGACACCAAGCCTTGCTCTGCTGAAGGTGGAGGCCCGGCCCTCCTGTGCCATGGCCACAGAGTGGTCACCGAGAGCCAGGCTCCCCCTGGAGAGGGCTGACCAGCAGATTCCAAATCTGCAGCCCCCCGAGGGGTCAGCCTTCTGTTGCACCCATGTTCCGCGACGCATGCCCTGGCCCGCGAGTCTGCGTAGACGTGAAATTGGCAAGTGCCTCTGAGCGGAGTTTCTCAGCGCCCTGTGGTAGGGGAGGAACTTTTCCATTTTTAGAACTGAAAATGTTTAGTCACTGGCGCTTTAAAGAAAATGACAGGCGTGTAGACATGTACCGCAAAGCACGCTCTTCTGTGGCTCCGGCAGGGAGGCCCAGGAACATGGTGGAGGCGCCCTCGTGCAGTTGGCGCCACGGCCCGGGCTGGCGTTGGCCAAGGCCTGAGGCTCCGGCCCTTTCCCCAGGAGAGTGGGCTGGGACCACCCCTCCCGGCAGGGGATGCAGGACCCTCCCCGCCAGGGTCCCTGGGGAAGCGGGCAGGGCGTGGGGCTCAGCTGGTGACCAGGGGCCTCTTGTTTTCCCAGCCGACACCCCCATTGAAGAGTTCACGCCAACACCGGCGTTCCCAGCCCTGCAGTACCTGGAGTCCGTGGACGAAGGCGGGGTGGCCTGGCAGGCCGGGCTGAGGACCGGGGACTTCCTGATCGAGGTAGGAACTCGCTGTCTGCGCCTTCTGGTTTGGGGAGAGCGCCGACTCTCCGTGGGGAGAGGGCCGTGAGGAGGCCCCCAGCCGGCGCAGTCGGGTGCCCTGGAGCGGCCAGCGTGGGGCTGCCTCCACCTGTGGCCCTGTGTCGGGGCTGCCTTTGGGGCTCCGGCTGGGAGTCCTTGGAAGTGAATGTGGAACGTGGGTCTTGTAGAAGCTAGGAAGAAGGGACACGGCTGCCGTGACATTGGGGACGTGTGCTGTGGATCCCTGGGTGGCTCAGTTGTGTGGCGCTGTGTCCAGGGAAGTCGGCAGGGCCTGTGGTCTGTGGCTGAGAAGTTGATTGATTTACCGTTGTTGGATGGACGTTGGTCTTCAAAGACCAAGGAGCGTGGCGAGAGGGTGGCTGGAGTTGACAGCACGGGAGGAGCCCGTGTGCCCGGAAGTTTGGAAACCGCTCCTCCTTTCAGAGGCGCCACTTTGAAGAATGCCCCTGGTGGGAGCCCCCCGGCCCGCGAACCCGTGTGGGGTGTGGAGTCCCTAGTGCGTCCGAGCCCTGGCCTCTGTGCAGATTTCAGTGTTGCTTTCCATTCCACCTGAAGGGATGTGCTACTCTTCTGGAGAACAGAAGGATGTGTCCTAGGTTGGAAACGGTCATTGTCAACGGTTTCGGTGGACTTGGATGGCCCTCGGTGGGAGGTCCCATCTCTTAGGTGTTCCCCTGTGTTAAACCTGAGCCCTGCTCTCCTGGATCAGAGAGCCACAGTGGGTGGGAGAGGCGGGTAGGAGGCCTGCCCGCCACGTGGGGGACCTGCCACTGGTGGTAGCACACGTCCACCCTGGCGCCAGAGCCCCCTGAAGCCGTTTCCCTGCGTGATGCCTGATCTTGGGACTGACTGCCATGCCAGCCAGGATCTCTGTAGCCTTCCCAAGACCCTGAGAGGCTGACGGGAACCCAGAGCAGAAACTGCAGGGCCAGGCCAGGTGGAGAGGTGTGTCCCCTGGTCATCCTCGACCCCCAGAGCCTGGCTGTGGTAAGAGTGCGCTAACTGGGGTCCCTGGGAGCTGGGGCGGTCGAGGCCCCTCAGAGCGGCCCCCTGGGTTCCCTGGGTTTGTAACCCTCCTGAAAAGGCAGGCCTGGGTTGAATCATCTTCTGTAGGATGCAGTTGTGATGTAAATCCCCTTCCTGTGAGGGGGAGGCGTGGCCTGGGCGCGGGCGGCCTGTCTGTGAATGGTGAGCTGTGTGTGGAGCAGGGCCGTGCGGAGCGCTGGTGCGGCTCCGGGTTTTCAGTGATGAACGGAGCTGGAAGGACAGGAGCTTCCCACCCGCCCTTGTTTGGCTCCTTGGATTGTTTCCTGGATCAAAGAAACAACCTGGTCTGCTGAGGCAGAGCCCGGGCAGCCTGGCCTCCTGGAGGCGGGCGGGCGGGCGTTGCTGCGCCTGGACCCAGCCCCAGGGCCCCGAGGGGGCCGTCCTGCTGGGCTGACGCCTCCTGGGGTCCGGGCTCCTTCTCAAGCCCCTTGGTGTCGCCTTCAAGCTCCTTCATGAAGACGCCCCTGCCATTCTGGAGCAGGTCTCCGTCTGGGGGAACCTCTGGATTCCAGGATTCTAGGAACGGCTGGCCCCGAGGCACATCAGGGCTGCGTCAGAGCCACGGTGTCCCCCGTGACCTAAGGCAGACCTGGCCTCTTTGGCACAGTCCCCACTGGTCACTGCAGCCTGAGCACCGACGGGGTCCGCAGGGTACAGGGGCCCGTCCCCTAGAGGGACCCGCCTCCTTCCAGTCCTCTTCCCCCTTGGGTGCTGGCGGGTGCGCGGAGGACCCCTGCTGTGGCCTCCTGGCCCCTGGACTTGGCCACAGGGCACCTAGTCCCCCGAGGTGTGGTCCCCAGCAGCGAGAAGCTCCGACCTTGGGGGGATGGTCTGAAATGGCCTCACGGGTCCCAGTGAATGTCCGCCTTGGCCTGAGGCCACCCCTAGAGTCGGTGGCATTTCTGAGCTCTCAGGTCCTTGTCCCCCATGTCCCTTGGCAGACCTGCTCTTCCCTCTGTTGCTTGAAAGAGCCTCGAAAGTATGTCAGGCTTTTTATGTTCTCTGTAAAACGCCTGCTGAGGTCTGAACCACGGGCCAAGCGGCCTCCTCTGAAGACAGCGTCGGCTTTTGAAGTCCCCGGCGCCCACGGAACTCCATTTTCTGTCCTCTAACTTTGTCAGCCCGCCCTGACCCCGTCACCGTGCTGGGCACTGGACCCGTAATGAAGCCTCCTGTCGCGCCTGATGGCCTTGGGGCTCACCGTCTCCCCCGCGGAGGCCTTGGGAAATTCGTCTTTTGTTTTTTGGGGGATTTTTTGATCCCCACCCCTTGGGGTAAATTCCCTGTGACTGGCTACCTTCAGGTTGGGGATTACGAGGGACAGACGGTGTCAGTGTGCGCTCTGTGAACTCGCTCTCAGAGGTGAGGGGGGTGCATGCGCCCGTGGGTGAGGACGTCTGGTCACGGCGGCCCAGTGGCCCTGCAGGGCTGTGTGTGATCTTCTGTCCCTGTCCTCGGGCGAGCCCCAGGACCCCAGGGGATGCTCCAGTCCCACGTGTGGAACGGCAGGGTGTGCTCACATGTGAACGGTGTGTGTCTGCCTGTGACCGAGGTGCCTCCCCCCCACCTCCCGTGCACTACCAGTTGTCCCTGGGCTGCTCGTGACACCTAATGCAACATGAACGCTTGGTCAGTGGTTGTCATATGATATCGTTTGGGGAATAATGACGAGGAAACCAGAGCATGCTTAGTACAAGCAGAGGTTCAGAGGTGGCAGGGGGTGTGGGGCTGGGGCCGCGGCCTGAGGGATGGCTGCTCCCTGCTGCAGCCCCTGAGGCCTGTGCCCTGGCTCTCCTGGCAGTGCTGGTGAGGTGGCAGCCACCCAGGAGAGGGCCCGGAGGCTTGGGAGGCTGCGGGGGAGCAGGGCAAGTTCTGTCCTGCAGGTCAGATGTACAGGCAGGGACGCCACCTGCCAGGAAAGGCCCTGGCCCTTGGGGACAACGGGACACCTGCCCACACTGGTGTTCACAGTGGGCAGAGCTTCCAGGAGGCGCTGGCTTGGGGCTGTTGGCTGCTGTCTCCTGGAGGTTGTCATGGGAGGCCAACTTGCTCCAGTGGATGGGGCGGGAGACGTCAGAGGTCACCTCCAAGTTTACGGGAGTCCTCAGGAGGATGCGGAGGGCTCGCGGGTGGAGGTCGGGCTGTCCCTCCATCCTGCAGGGCTACAGTCAGACTCGTCCTGCTGCTGTGGCTGGGTAGGGGAGTCGCCCAGGCCCCAGCCACCTGCTGACTCAGAACCATGAGATGGGAGCCCAGGCTTCCAGGTCTGGGTGCTAGAGTGTTGCTGGGCCCCGGGGGCAGGCAGGGTGACCACTGCTGGCCTTGCAAGTTGGCATTTTGAACCTGGTCCCTGGCCTTCCATCCAGTCTCTGGGTCCCACGTAGACCCAGAAACCGTGCTAGCCTGGCGTAGGATCAGCTGTCCTTCCACGCACCCCGCTTGGACACTTAAGCCTTTCCTAGAGTTCCTTCGTAACTAGAACACCCTGGATCTCTCCAGAGGTGGTGGCACACGCCTGTAGTCCCAGGGGCTCAGGAGGCTGAGGCAGGAGGATCACGAGTTCAAAGCCAGCCTCAGCATAAACGAGGCACTAAGCAACTCAGTGAGACTCTGTGTCTAAATGAAATACAAAATAGGGCTGGGACGTGGCTCAGTGGTCCAGTGCCCCTGAGTTCAATTCCCCATACCAAAAAAAAAAAAAAAAAGAAGAAGAAGAAGAACACATCCTGTATCTCAAAAATAGTCCATAAGGCAGTTCCACGGTCAGTGTCCAAAGGGCAGACAGCACCTACAACAAAGATCAGAGGAGACCCAGTCCTTTGTGGCCACTGATGTCCCTGCCCGGCCCTGTGCTGTGCCCTCTGGTCCATAGCAGTCCTCACAGATGTCCTCCGTTGTGGGCACCATCTGAAACATGAGGGGACTGAGGCACACGGAGGCCAGATGACCTGCCCAGGGTCGTGGCCACTCAGCTGGTGGCTGGAGGGGGGGACCCGGCCCAGGGCGGCTGACACAGTGGCGTCAGGCCCAGCTCACAGGCCCCCGAGACTCTTGTGTGCTGATGTATAAAGGGGCCAAGGGAAGAAGAGACCCCACGGTGGAGCCGGGCTCGTTTGGAATCAGCCAGCACTTCTTCGTCACTCTAGCTGTTGCCGGTGACAACACCCTGGGGTTGCCAGGTGAACGAGCTGCCGTGCGCTCTGCAGAGATCGACGTGACAGTGTGTTACAGGACCCACGGAGCTGACCTGGGACTCTGGCGTCTGGGATCCATCCTCAGAGAAGCCCGGACAGCCAGGCAGGGATCACAGGGCAGCAGGACCGAGGGGCAGCCGGGGGCCTGCAGACACGGGTGCAGATTCCTAAGAGAACATTAGAAATTATTCCTCCCAGGAGCTCCCAGGACCAACGGGAGATGGTCGCGTGGTATTGTCACCACTCCCCTGAGAGGGCCACGGGGAGGGAAGGACACACTGTCCCTGGGAGAGGGGCTGCACCCTCGTCTGTCTCCGGACCCTGCTGTCTCGGACTTTCCTCAGCACCTATGGTGGACGGGTGTTCATTCATCAATGGGGAGATCTTTCCTGGGGGGCTGTCCACTCTGGGGAGGGGCGTCATTTGGTCTGGGAGGAGCAAGTCTTGTTCCGGGGCCTCCCCGCCAGCCTCACCCAGGGCCGAGAAGACTCCTGTGGTTTTTGTGATTGTTTTCTTGGCCCTGAAGTGGCCCCTCTCGTTTTTGTGTTAATTTCCCTAAATAGGTTTTCCCTTGCAATTATAGCAGGCGGTAATACCCTGCGTCCTCGGGAAGCCACACTTCGGGCTGCTAATTACTTTTCCTCGTATTAAACACTCGCACTAGAGGTAGATGCTGCCGAGCGGCTTTCTAATCGGCTGTGTTGGAGGGAGGAGGCTG